GGCATAAACAGCAAGTAGAGTGATTTGTAGTTCTTTAGAGGGAAAGGCACTTTATTAATGTAGCAGGCTATACGTTTATCTTTGTTCAGCCAAATAGTCCATAGAGAAAAAGATTTTGCCTGATGCTCCTGAAGGATTTTAAATAAAGGCTAGCATCTTCTAGAACTAATTTTTTAATGTCAAAATACTTTTTTTAAAATAATATCATTTAGAATGAGTATTATTATACAAGCTATGCACACTATGATTTGTTTTCTACAACACATGTGCATAAAGAATGGTCCAGGGGCTTTCAAATGATATTAATAATAAGACAACATCTGTGTATTACTCTTTGGCATGAATTTTTTAAAAGCCTTTATTTTTTTCACAGATAGGTTATCAAACTCAGAGCTATTTTTCCACCTCAGTTGACTTCTGGTTTTGTTCCAGTGATTGCAAACCGGAGTGTGGGAGGGAAAAATGGGTTGTAGCACTCTGGTTCACTGAAGCAGTTCTAAAATATGGAAAATCTGATTATCGTTATGCCATCACCTCTGGGTGCTCTAAAAAAAACAGTGTCCAACACCAGGGCTTGAAGAACAGGAGATTAATATATAACTTTTTATATGAAAGAGTAAATATTGTTCTATTAAAATGGTCAACTGACGAAACTGCCAGCCACATCACTGAGGAAAGGCATCTCCTGTCAATTTCATATTTGTCACCTGTAACTACCTTCACACCCACTTTGACTTTTGCCACTAAAAATTTAAGCAATATGTTACAAAGCTTCTCCTCTCCTCTGTGCTTGAAACTATAAATTGTCCCTTCTCTACATGATTCCTGAAGCCCACTCCACACATTCACTTGAAAACGTTATGTGTGTCAGAAATCACTGAATTACTATTCCCAGAAATACCAGCTCAGAATGGTTTAGACACTGCTGGAGAAGCACCAACTCAGTGTGAGGTTCAGCTGTTTGGGGGGGAGGGGGAACTGGGGAAAAGGTGATACTGGAGAAGGAAGAGGTTTACTATAAACGTCAAGCGAGGCATGCAGGCTGCCTCTACCAGAAATCATTATTCCACCCGTTCTCAAAGCAAAAGGCTTGCATTACGCACTCTTAATATCTATTTCCACAGCAAATAAACTTACCTAACTATAATTTCTACCTTTCACCCGCTACACAGGGAATACACTGCATGCCATTTGCTATATCTATTTATTTTTCTATTTATTATATTATCACATTTGTGTGAAATTGCCTTAAAAATTCGGGCTACTCATATTTTAGCAATCAATCAAAGCACAGCTAGTTCAAAACTGATGCCTGATTTTTTTCCCATTTGCCCTTACATTTAAAACAAATCCACAAAGAAGTTTATTTTTGATACAACAAGAACATTAAAGTAAACATTTTGATTCATGTACTCATAAAGTACAGAATCTCTCAGGGAAATGCTGGTTTAGTCAATGAACTCCAAATTACTATTTCTAGTATTACTGTCGTTCATTTTCAGCTTAAAAATACTAATGTCCCGGGCTTCCCTGGTGGTGCAGTGGTTGAGAGTCCGCCTGCCTATGCAGGGGAAACGGGTTCGTGCCCCGGTCCGGGAGGATCCCACATGCCTTGGAGTGGCTGGGCCCGTGAGCCATGGCCGCTGAGCCTGCGCGTCGGAGCCTGTGCTCCACAACAGGAGAGGCCACAACAGTGAGAGGCCCGCGTACCGCGCAAAAACACAAACAAACAAAAAATACTAATGTCCCTAGTGACTTTACAGAATAATAAAAAAAAGATTGTTCAGAGAATTTATAATATTCCTAATTAGCAGTGTGTAATACATGTTAGATAAGAGTCATACTACTAAAAAGAATATTCAATTGCCTACCAACCCTGAGAACATTCTAAGGAGTTTCTTTTATATTCTATAGAGCAAAACATCCAGAGTTCCGTGTACAGTGACACGTTTTAGCCTCAGTTACATTTGGAAATCTAAGGGAACACAGAAGTGAACGTTTAAAAATATATTCCTAGGGCTTCCCTGGTGGCGCAGTGGTTAAGAGTCTGCCTGCTGATGCAGGGGACATGGGTTCGTGCCCCGGTCTGGGAAGATCCCACATACCGCGGAGCGGCTAGGCCTGTGAGCCATGGCCGCTGAGCCTGCGCGTCCGGAGCTTGTGCTCCGCAACGGGAGAGGCCACAACAGTGAGAGGCCTGCGTACTGCAAAAAAAAAAAAAAAAAATATATATATATATATATATATATATATATTCCTACTAAAAGAAACATAAATCAAAAATTTATGTCTTGTTACAGTGTACCAAGAATAGTACATTATTATGAATTATGATCATTTATCGAATGTAAGTTTTGCATAAACACAGTGGCCACTGAACATTATCAGAAAATTGAACATGGATGAAAGGAAAATCCAATTCGAAATATGCTATACCATCACAGAAGCTAATAAACTTTATTTTAGAATTGAATTTAGGACAGTGACAAAATTTACTTGGACACTTAAAACACAGAGTTGCCTCATTGTAATCAGTTAGCATTATGCAGTCTGTCATCATCTATGGAAATCTACACACAACCAAAATTTATAAAGATTCCACCATGATATGCTCCCACATAAAAAGCCAAAAAAATCTGAATTTATTTATGAAATGGTAGTTATAAGACATTTCCTGAGTTAGAAATGTTTCAAGTTTCTAAAAAAGATGTAAAAGTGAGATACAAGTTTACCCCATCATATATTACTACATCCAATTGAAACACATGACTCAAATTCCTAGTCCTAGAAGTTACACACCTTCTCACTGATCTAATAACCTAAAAAGTAAAATTTCATGGATTACATTGCTATATCAAGAAGAATCTCAGGGCTACCAAATGTGAGAAAGAAGTGTAAAGATGTTTCTAAAACAAGTTAGTTTTATTAGATCTACGTTAAAACTACAAGGCGAAAATACAGTTTTAAACAGAAACATCTGGCTTCCCATAACCTTGGCCCTTCTTGGGAAGTCTATAAGAAGAAGCAATCACTATGATATTTCTATTCCTTACTTCTGGAACCTTGTGGCAATTCAAAATGCCCATTAACAGTCCTGGAGAGAGTCTTAGAGCTTGGAGCTAAAAGGCAGCTAACTAGAAGGGTCACCACCCTCAAGATGTATAAACTGTGGTCCAAGAATATTAAGTGATGAGCCCATAGTTACATAATTGGTTAGATTCCTATGATTATGTTAGGATTCATCACTAATTTAGAGAGCAAATGATAAATAAGGAAACATTTATGCCATTTTACCTTTGGCAGAGGGTTTTACAATGCTTGAATTTGACGGTTTTACTCACTCTGGGTATTTCTTTGGCTGCTATTTACAAACAACTTCAGAGTCTATATACCTAGATAACTGAATTTTCTGTTACACAATCCTATGTTTCATTAGACTATATGAGACTACTGTTTCTGACCTGAAACATTAGAGATTTCTTAGAGGTTTTTCCTATATCTAAGAAAACTAAAATCCAGAGACCTTAAGAGTCTTAAACTAAAATTCACCTCAACTACGTTAAGACATTATATAATTTAATTAATATTTATTTTCCAGTCTGGAAATCTAAATAGACTATCACTATCGGTGAATATTCTAGATAGAACTTAAATGTCCCAGAAGTGGAAAACTCTATTATTTGCTCTATTTAGTTTAAGATAGATCATGAAATTTAACACTGAAATAGCCAAACAACAAACTTCAATGAAGAATCTCTAAGTCAAAAATCCTGGCTATAAAATGAGGATTCAGTTGATGTCACTTCATTCATCACTGCCCCTGCTTCTCACTTAATAGTCAAAGTATAGGAACTGAAGTTACATCTCCCACCCACATCTTGCACACCTCCACCTCCAATCAAGACTACGTCCTGAAGACACTGTCCAACACCAAATGCTGGTGGAATGGAGCAACAGGAACTCTCACTGCTGGTGGGAATGCAAACAGTACAGCCACTTTGGAAAACAGTTTGGGAGTTTCTTACAAAACCAAACATAGGCTTATCATAATATCAAGAAATCATGCTCCTAAATATTTGCTCAAATGAGCTGAAATCTTATGTCCACACAAAATCCTACACACCAATATTTATAGCAGCTTTATTCATAAGTGCCAAAAACTGGAAGCAACCAAGATGTCCTTCAATAGGTGAGTGGATAAACAAACTGTGCTACATCCATGTAATGGAGTATCATTCGGTAATAAAAAAAAAATCAACTATCAAGCTATGAAAAGACATGGGATAACTTTAAAGGCATACTGTTAAGTAAAAGAAGCCAGTCTGAAAATGTTACATATTATATGATTTCAACTATATGACATTCTGAAGAAAGCAAAAACTATAGAGACTTTAAAAAGATGAGTGGTTGCCAGGGCTTCAAGAGGTGTATGGTGGAGGCAGTGGGGGAGGGAAGCAATGAATAGGTGGGACACAGGGCATTTTTAGTGCAGTGAAACTATTCTACATGATACCATAATGGTAGATATATGACATTATTATACATTTGTGGAAACTCTGAGAACCGTGCAATACAAAGAGTGAACCCTAATACAGACTATGAACTTTAGTTAATAAAACTGTATCAATACTGGTTCATCACTGTAACAAAAGTACCACCTTTTGCAAGCTTTTAATAATCGACGAAACGGCAAATGGCGGGAGGGAGTATACGGGAGCTCTGCTTTCTGAGTCATTTTTCTGCAACCCTAAAACTGCTCTAAAAAATAAAGCTATTAAAACAAAATAAGAACGCTGTCTCATGAACTAGCTATTGACACAGAGAAATTTGTGTAAACCTTGTGTAAAACTACAAGGTTTAAATAATATGAAAAGCAAATACACAAATGCAATGATATTTCCCCCAAAACAAACACATGGTAACATTCATCCTAACTGTGAAACAAAAAGCAACATAAATGACCTTAACCCTGCGAAAAATAAAATCTGAAATATTCTTACCTGTCCTGCGACTGCTCTTCGTACATCCTCTCCTTGCCTTCTTTAAAGAGTCTTATTGCTCTTTTTGACTTTTTCATTAGACTATCAATGTAGATTTTAAAATATTCATTCTCACTGAGTTGGGCAAGTTTCTGGTTGTCGTCATATTTACTCAATATAAGTCTCAAATGCTGATATGTATCAGGTAAAATATCAAGTATATACGGTGGGCTATTCTTCAACTGGAGTTTGGGATTTTGGCACAGTCTGACCTAAAAGAAACAAAGACAGAAAAAAAACACTTTCATGTGAACTGCAACACTTTCTTTCACAGAAGAGCTGAGAAAATTATCAAACTATGTACTATTTCTTTGCCTTGCATAATATACATTTTGATTTTAAAATTATCATCAGCAATCTACAAAGAATCTACATTCCCGTCTGTTTTCATACAATTAAATACTATTCTCTTCTCTTCTCATTCAGTTTTTCTATGTCAGACCTTAACTTTCAACCCCAAAAGTTTTCATTCTCTCTTCAACATCCCATTGTTCACGGCTTAACAGAACATCTATGTGCTAATTATTATATAGCACTAACAGTCTCTTTTTTAAACAAAAATGAGGTTATGGGCCTCATCTGCTGGCCCATTTTAACATCTCACATTCAGAGATTATTTTCCCAGCTAAAGCTCTTTGATAGATTTTAATTTACGTTTTGGTGTATTGTTCCCAAACCCTGAGAAGACTAAACACAGGTGCTCTTTTAATAACTGAATTATTAAGTAGTAAATGGGTGTCAGGTCAGAACAAGTCTTTTCCACCTCTTCACATTACATCCCAGGCCTAGAAACACATGTTACATAACGGTTCAGTCATTTCATCAGGTGCCACCCAACGGCTGGGGCGTTCAGGGCTGCCTGCATAACCATACCTTCTGCTAGCACGAAAAGGTAGTAATTCTACTACTACATTCACTTCTTTCTACATGTTCATGTGATTTAGTCATAAGTAATTTTACCCATCTCTCATTCTTACCCCTCCAATCACAGCATAAAGAACCATCCAATTAAACGACTGTTTAAATAAACTCATTGGGAATTGCACAAGTGTGTACATAGTGTAAAGGCACACACTCTTACAAAAGGCAATATGTACACATCAAAGCAGAGTTACTGAGAAGCTCATGAAGCATAAGCTTGAGGGTCCCTCAGACACTTGGCCCTCTTCTAAAGGTCTCGTCATACATTTTTTTTGTAAAGTTTTCAAGAGCAAGATATTTTACACACAATTAGTTAAGATTTCTGTCTTTTTCCCAGTGCAACATCCCTTCTGTCAAACTTAACCTTCTGCTGGGTGGCACTGAAGGAGCTGGGGGCATTTCTGGAGTCTGGCTAATGGGAATTTGAGTTGAAATACACTTAGTTTGGCTTTAGTGGAAGGTACATGTAAGGAACGCAGTCACTTCTGGAACTAGTTAAATCACTGTCAGCAATTGTGATAAAAGAATGGCTTCGGGAATATTTCAAGTGTTCATGGTGCTGACCAGCCCAGCACAGGAGCAGGAAGGTCACGTTTAAATTTCGTAATTTGAATGTGTCCAATGGTACCCAGAATTGGAGGCATATGTGGGCAACGGAAGAGAATCAAAGTGCAAAGTGTACAGAGGGCTTCCCTGGTGGCGCAGTGGTTGAGAGTCTGCCTGCCAATGCAGGGGACACGGGTTCGTGCCCCGGTCTGGGAAGATCCCACATGCCGCGGAGCGGCTGGGCCCGTGAGCCATGGCCGCTGGGCCTGCGCGTCCGGAGCCTGTGCTCCGCGGCGGGAGAGGCCACAACAGTGAGAGGCCCGCGTACCGCAAAAAAAAAAAAAAAAAGAATCTGCCTGCCAATGCAGGGGACACAGTTTCGAGCCCTGGTGCAGGAAGATCCCACATGCCGCGAAGCAACTAAGCCCGTGGGTCACAACTACTGAGCCTGCGCTCTAGAGCCCGAGAACCACCACAACTGAAGCCCGCGCACCTAGAGCCCGTGCTCTGCAACAAAGAGTAGCCTCCACTCACGGCAACTAGAGAAAGCCCACGCGCAGCAACGAACACCCAATGAAGCCAAAAATAAATAAATAAATAAAATAAATTTTAAAAAAGAATAAGTGTACAGAGTCTAGATTATTTCTCTGATGTTTGTGGACTTAACCACTTCTTTTAATGGTCTTTCTTTTCATACCCAATTTTGTATTTGTACTTTTTTCTTTAAAAGGACCACTCCAAATTTCAGGTTCCACAAAAACATGGATCCACTTTTGGGTACTCATAAAAGTGCCCCGGCCAAATGAAAAAGAGTTGAACGTTAATAATTTCAAGAACCACAAACACAATAAATCAAGGAAATGACAAATGAAAAAGTACTCTTAAACTTACTTTCTCACTTGCTTCCTTTGAGAAATGACCATATCTTTTGTGGGGGAAAAAAGTCTGGCTCAAACTATCAAGCATCAGCCCCTAATTTAAGACAACCATTTCTCACATTAACTAAGGGTGCATTTCTCACATTAACAAAGTGTACTCCACTTCGTACACAGTGCCTAAAGCAGAACTGTCTAGCATACAGTACAGAACTAATAAATGGATGTATAGATGGTTGGTTGATTGATTCTGAAAGTCTTTATATGTATTTTTACACACAGATGTTATTATATTACTTCCTTATTTTCATGATTGAACTATATAATAGTATTTTCTCCCCTAAAGACAGATGAAGTCCCAAATATATCAATGATTTAACAAATCTTGCTTGAAACAAGATGGTTTTTCAATTCTTAAAACTAAAAGATAATATAGCGAGTACACACAAATTTCAAAAGTATCACCACCAACATCCTACAGCAGGCAGTTTAATTTCAGCAACATAAAACTTGGTACAACATGTCGCAGACTGATAAATTATTAACTTGTAGTTAGGGGGCTAGGCAACTTTAAATTCATTTCCTCCAACTGGTGAATTTTTTAACTGATAAATAAAAAAATTTTTCAGACATTCCAAATCACTGTTCTTTAATAGATTCTTTTAAACGGTACAGATTTTTAATTTACTATATGCTACCTGGCCTTTTTCTTACTTGTTTTATTTAAATTATAATTCTATCTGAGTATTGATTTATTCAGTAAAATTGTTTGAATAACTACTATATACCAGGTACTGAGCTTAGTGCCAGGAAATTATAGATGACTAGAGCATACTTCATGCCTCAAGGACTCTGGCAGAAGAGACCTAGTTCTCTATAATTAACTTAGGAGCAATGTAATTCTTGCTCTAAGGGATCTTGGTGAAGATCCTGTCCAATCCATTCATTTTTCAGATAAAGAAACTAAGAACTACAAAGATTACGGCGACTATTGAAAAATCATTAATCCAACACAAGAGTCTGCATCTTATGAATCTCAGCCTGATCTTCCTTCTAACTATATCACAATTTAATTAGAATTAGGCATATAACTAATGATCCCTGGCTAAACTCATTTACATTTTTATTTTACTCCATTTGCAAATTTACAGGAACTTGAGGACCCATTTGTTAATTCTACAAACGTTTATATGTCAGGCATTGTTTCGGGCCCTATGGAGTACAGCAATGAATAAATCACACACCTGTCCTCAAGGAGTGTTCTAGTGAAAAAGACTGGTGGCTTAGAAAAGAATGACAGGAGAATCAGAGTGCTATAATGGAGGAGACTACGAAGTGCTAGAGGAGGAATGAAGCAGACACATCTACGTGGCAGGGCCATGAAAGGCATACCTAAATTTGCAAAAGGAATATTCCAGGCAAAGGGATGTGCAGAGGCTTGAGAGGCCCCAGAGAGTAGGGTGTGTGAAGAGTAGTCAGTGCAGTCATTCTAAAAGGTGGGGGCATAGGAGCCCCTGGGTGAGTGGAATGAGGAGATCTTCAATAGGCTAGAGTCAGTTCATCAAGGCCTTTGTAGGCCACACAGTTTTTCTAAATCTGCACTTGGGCAAGTGCAATATAAAATGCTGAACTACTACTGCACGCCGCTGACTGTGCAGTTCATCAGTTGGATTAGTATTAAACTGTGATTTATGTCAACTCTTGCCGAAAATTGCCGAAAATGAATAACCCTATGCCAGGACTATGACTTCCTAGCAGGTCAAATTCAATTCAATTCAATAAATATTTATTGAGTGCCTGCTATGTGCAAGGAACTGCAAAAGCCAGGGCGAGAAAAATTGCTTTTCTAAAACCAGTATTTTAAGGAGAAAAATCAAGCTCACCATTTAAGGTTCAAGTTCAGATTCGAATGAGTCAGACTTCTAGAAATATCGAAGTCACTCCCTAGAATGAAAGCGGGTCCCAACACAGGAGAGCTTTCACAAAGAACACATCTACAGTCACATTATACACTGATGGAATTTTTAGGGCACCAACTGGTACATTAAAGGATTGGTTCATTACTCTTTGCTTTTGAACTAAAAGGTAAAACATCTAATATTGGAATTGGGCTAAAAATTCCATTATAGTCATTGGCTCAAAGGATTTTAGAGTTAAAGAGGACCTTGGAGGTCACCAAGACCAACTCCTTACTTGTTACATGACAATACTTAAACACAGAAATGGAACCTAGTTAAGTTTACTGCTCAGAACCCTGCTGTCTGGACTTACAAGTCAGGCACTCTCTCCATAACAGTAGACAACTGCCTGATGTATTTCTTGAAAATGTATTTAAAGATTTTTAGGGCTTCCCTGGTGGCGCAGTGGTTGTGAGTACGCCTGCCGATGCAGGGGACGTGGGTTCGTGCCCCGGTCTGGGAGGATCCCACATGTCGCGGAGCGGCTGGGCCCGTGAGCCATGGCCGCTGAGCCTGCAAGTCCGGAGCCTGTGCTCCGCAACGGAAGAAGAAACAAGGGGGGGAGGCCAAAAAAAAAAAAAAAAAAAAAAAAAAAAAAAAAAAAAAAAGATTTTTAAGTAGACCTCTCTGTATATGTCTATATATGCATCGTCTCACATACATAAAAAATATATATTTTATATTTAATATGGCACTACATGTGTATTTCAGTAAATACATGAATATGTATTCACATACATAAAATATATATTCAACCATATCAAAGCAAAGGCACAAATATAAACACAGGATTTACTAGGGCTACAAGAATCTTCAAAGCCATTAATTATTCTGGAACACTCTTGCATTTAAACAGTTTCCTGAATGTGCTTTAATTAAAATTTCCAGCCAAAAGGTAACAAAGAAGTATTA